TTAATTTCACAGATGAGATTAGAAGCATGAGCTGGGGATAAACTGGGCATGGTTACACACTCCAGTAATTCCATAACTCTGTGAGGCTGAGGCAGGTGGATAGGAAGTTTAGCTCAGTTTGGATAATTTAGTATATATAGTGAGATCCTGTCTCAAAAGTAAAAATTAAAAATAGTGTTGAGGATATAGTTCAATGCAAAGACCTTGGCTGGGTTCAGTCTTCTAGGAAAGGAGGGTGGGGTAGGAGAAGGAGAGAAAGAGGGAGGAAGGAAAAGAGGGAGGAGAGAGGAAAAGAAATGTAGAGTCAGGCATGGTGATACAAACCTGAAATCCCAGTTTTCTGGGAGGCTGAGGAAGGCGAATCACAAGTTGGAGGTCAGCCTGGGCAGCTGAGTCTCTATCTCAAAGTGAAAAGTAAAAGGAGCTGGGCACACTTGTGTGGCATGCACATGACCCTTGGGTTCCATGCCAGTACTATGAAAAGGAGGCAAAGGAAAGATTTACTCAAGCTGAGATGTGAAGATAAAATACCTCAATGTATCTCATGTATATCTTCTCAGAAATCTCTCATTTATCAAGTGAGAAATAATTAAGAGATAAATTTGAAATGTAATTTGTTCTTATCGCTTAAAACTCAGGACCAAAGAGATAAAGGGAAAAGGTACAGTTCTATAACTTCTACTTGCAAAGTGATGGAACTTTGAGCGTATAAAATCTTCATATTTTTATATTACTGTTTTGAAACATTTAATGCTTTTATCTTTAAAAATGTACTTTTAAAGTAAGATTATAAAAAATCTGTTGTTGATAATCTTGAAAATACCGAATAGTTTATAGTATGGATAGTTTGAAGCCCTTGTGTGTTTAAATCCAGACTTCCATCTCTCAGAGACTATGGTTGACTCCCCCAGATCCCTTTTTATCCTTCTCAAGTTTGGTCTCAAATGAGAACACAAACATTTGTTCTGGTTGCTGGTTGTGATCCTTTGCTCTCAGGATGCTGAGGTAGGAAGATTGAGTTTGAAATCAGCATGGGCTACAAGTGAGACCCTTTCTCAAAAAGCCGAAGCAGAACAAAATAATTTCCTCCTGGTTTGCTTTTTTTTTTTGAGCAGAATGTGTTTATTGAGGGAAAGAAAAGCTTCTGTCTGAGAGAGGGGCAGAAGGGGACCCAAAAGGGTTGCCAAGGAATCTGCCTTTTCTAGGGATTTTTATAGACTAAAACCATGAGGTCAGGCAGATCTAACGTGGAACTAAGTTTGCTTGTTTTAATCAAACAGTTGTAGCCTCATCTGTAGGGCTTTTAGCTAAGTGTGTATGATACATTTAAGTTATCTACTATATATTAATGTACCAAATGAAGGATTCATCAAATTGTTGTACTTTCAGTCAGAAAATATGTGAATATTTACTACATGTGAGGCATTACACTTAATTATTATGGCATATAATTTTTATTACTGTTGTTAAATTACCATTTGTTTGATTTATGAATTACCTGAGTTGTCTCTTTGGAAACTTATGTAACTTGCCTTCTAGATCCTATCACTTCACCTGCTTCATCCTTGTTTAATGACTTTGGTGCCCTCAACATCTCTCAGAGAAGAAAGGTAGGTAAAATTGAAGCCTATTAAATTGAATAGAATTTAGAGGTGCTGTTGAGATTGTTACATGTATGTTGTGATGTTTTTTGAAGAGGGGGAGAGTTTTTACAGACTAAAATGTTTTTCTTGCCTTTTATTTACTCATTTTCTTTGTCTCTTATATGTGGAATTTTATTTGTTCTCTGCGCAGAATAGGTTTTATGTGAAGAAATGAAATTGTGGTGCTTATTATTCTGCATTTTCTCTGTCTTAATGTATTCCTTTCTTAAGACAGCATCTAAAGTAATCCAGTGTTAGGTATATTAATATTTTTACCTTTGCTTTGTCTAAATTTCAAAGATTTTCCCTTAATTGAAATGCCTCATTACAAGGCATACTTCTTGTTTGCAGTTTTCATAACTGACATAACTGTTGAAAACCAGTTTAAGAGTCTAGAGAGATAGCTCAGTAGAATAAGTGCTTGCCTGGCAACCGCAAGGGCTTGAGTTCAATCCCTGGTTCCGCCAAAAGAAAGAGAAAACCAGTTTAAAATCTTTTCACGACTTGGTGTCAAAGTTAAAAGGCTATATATAGAGTTTTATAGTGTTTTCTAATGATTCCGTCCCAAGTTAACATGAATAGTTTGATACCTTTGAGTCTTCATGGGACTCAGAGTAATTTTTAATAGTCATCCAGAGCAATTGCTCTTTCTTCAGTGGAAAGTACTATAAAGATATATAGCATATATAGCATTCTATTTTATAAGTAATGGAAGAAAGACTCAAAATAAAAGTTTTAATTTTAGAAAAAATGGTTTGAACTTAAAATGCTTTTGGGAGGGATCTGGTTAGAGAGTATATAAAGCAAGGCTCAGAAAGTCTAGCGATAGTTTAAAGATACTTAGTTGGACTCTCATTGAACTGTGTTCATTAAATCTGTACAACATTTAACATATCAGTCATACCTCAGATTAAAAAATTTAGGAAGACTTAATGTTTGTAAAGCAAAACAGATCACACATTAAATGATTCATGTACCTAACATTTCCAGTTTTGAACATGAAGGCATTCAAAAATAATTTGAAAATGCTTATAAAGCAGCTAGATTTCATATACTAAATGTATGAATTTGATGTGAGAGTTTTCTTAGAGCCTTTTAACAAAAATAAAGTTACTTGGTTTAGATAGTTTTCTCACTAGTTGGAATATTTATTTTCTAAAGCCATATGTTAGAAGTGGAATAGAGTTGGACAAGAATAGACTAGTGGCAGTGGTAAGGCCAGTAGATAGATTGGCCCTATGGAAGTAAATAGTAAAGTGCTGAAAAGCAAATATAGCCCAGAAACAAAGTTATCAGAGGTATTTTAGGGGTAGTAGAAAGTACGTAAGTTGCCTTAGGCGGGGTCCCATAGTGTCTTCGTATGTGTAGAAAGTAAAACTAGAGTGATAAATTCTAAATATTTTTAATATGAAAAATGGACTGAGTATATCTTAAAGTTGAAATACACGCTCTAGGGCCACTGATACCTTTTCAAAAGTAGTTAACATCACTGAGGACTGGAAAAGGAAAGATGTAGTGCCTATTTTACAGCTTTTTCTGGAGGGCAAAATTTGGAGAGATACTAGGATGTATATCTTAATGCAAGTGGACTGATATAGTGGGATGAACATTATTCTGTGATTTGAGGTCTTCAAGCTCTATCTTTGTGGCCCTGTGCCAACTTTATAGGCTGTAATTGTATTATCTGTGAAATGGCAAGCATGTCTAGTAGTTATTGTGATGTCTTTCTTTTCTAACCTAGTCTCTGTCTAAAGCATTCACTTGTGAATCTCTACCTAGAAATTTATGGTTATTGCAATTTACATTTAAAATAAGATCATGGTGAATTTTTCCAGTAGCAAGATGTACTATATGATATCTGTGGGTACACTTTATGTGTATTTTAAAATTGTTAATGGTTGAATGGTGAATGTTTAAAATCTGTGCTACAAGTACTTTTAAACTATAGGAATATTACATGTTACACATTGCGAATTGCAGTTATATGCAACTGCTTATTTTTCTTTTGTTGTCATTTATGTCTGTTTGATGTAATTTTAAAGGAGATAAATAAAATTCCGTAAATATTTAATTATAATTCTTGTTTTGTGTAAATAGCTGGTGAGTGGTATTACTGAGTAATAATTTGTAATGGCATTAGAGGATAGATAAGCCATACTCAGTACTACTTCGTAGCTTGTGGGGTAAATAATTTCCAAAAAATCTCACTTGGCGTGGATCCTGCTTTGGGCCAATTAAAGCTGCTTTGCCTACCGATTTATATGACTTATTGAGAGTAGATCAGTCACATACTTTTATCAGAGGCTGTTTTACTAGATGCTATATGGAAATTTGAAAGAATTGCTGTTTTCCTTGATTTCCTCAAATCTCGTTGTAGAGGCAGTACATGAACCTACTATACTTACACAGCAACATATTGATGTCAGTTTAAATATTTGATGATTGCCAACTTGCAGACAATCCTCTGGAATTATGGAGAAAAGATGTTTTTTAATTTAGATTTTATTTTGCAGTACCAGGGATTGAACTCTTGACCTTATGCTTGCCAGGCAGGTGCTTATGCTGCTGAGCTATCTCCCCAGCTAGGTGGAATTTTTTGATGGTGAGAACCATAGAGATACATAGGCAAAAAAATAGGCTTTATTTTTATTACAAGTAATCGAGATAGGTATATAAGCTCTTTAATTTCCTTCTGAATATTGTGGATGATCTAAGGAACTATGGCTGAGGGCCTTAGTATGTTTAGGACTTGTTGAAATAAAATATGGAGCAGGAAAAAGAGTACAAAGGAGTTCTTAGCCATTCATCTGAGTTGTCTTGTTAGGTGTGTGAGGACTTGCAGAAGATTTTTGTTTATTGATACTGTCTGCCTTCATATACTGCTGTCACAGTATTCCAGTGCCCTGTGCCAATCTCAGTCAATTGATTTGTTATTTGTCTATAAGGAAATAAATTATCAAAGTAAATGTTAGGAGACTTTAAACAATTTGAAATACTGTGACTCAAAATATGTGATTGTTTTTCTGTAATTCTTATTTTATAAAACAACACCATGCTATCCAGGAAACACTTTAAAAAGTAGTATTTTTAATTGATGTTTAAGAAGCACGGTTTTTATTTTATTTACTGTATGTACTTTTATAGATATAAAAAGTATGATTTGAAATGTGCATATTTATTCTTGGCCAAGATTAATGGTGGAAGAATTTGAATTCTAGCTTTATATTGTATGGAAAGGTTGGCTCCCCAGAGCACTGAGATGACTTTTAAGTTTCTTTGTAAATGAGAGTTAATATAGAAGAGGGTAATACATGAGTGCTTTTATGAAAAGACTATTGAAAAGAAAGATTTGAGATGGAGAGTCACCATGGATCACAAATGTGATCTTAGCAAATAGTGAACATTGGGTAAGAAATCAACAGCATATTTTTAACGAAAGTAGATGTTGAAAATACACATATTCATAAAGGAGCTGGGTTAGTGCTATGGTATCTTCCTAATGACTTTTTCCCTAAGTTGTGAGTTTTTATACAGGGCTACCACATAGTAATTGATGCAGATCCTAGCAAAATGAGAAGTCTTTGCAGTCTGTGCCTCATATTTTTGGCTTTTCCTTTTATGTTTTCTGGGTTAATTACCTTCTTCCTCTCCTTCACTGAATCATTTTTATATTTGGTCCCTATGAGTCTCCACCCCCCAAACCAAAATAACAATATTTTTTATACCTCGTTTTTATACTTTTCTGCTGGATGTTTAAGATGAAGATAAAGCACACCTATTTAGCAAGAAATGTAACTTTTGTATTTGACAAGGTCAATCAAATCCTCTCAGGATTTACCTTGAAACCCTGTACTGCACTTTGTAGATCTTTTTTCAGGGTCAGCCATATGGATGAGTTATGGCCATTGCTTGACCAATTTGCTCTCTGTGAAAGCCTGAGAGAATGTTTTCTCTCCTTGTGACTCTCCTTAGGCACACTGTACATCATCGGTCACTTTCCTCTGTGGCCCCATAATGTCCTTGATCAGAAAATTTGCGACACCACTGAGTTACGTGATGTTACAGTACAGGTTCTCTTGTGTCCTGAGTCCTCACTGACCTTGAAAGGCTAGGGCCAAAATGTTGGCTGATCTTGCAGCCCTTCTTTTTCTCTAATTTTTGGTCTGCAAAATTAAGTTGTTAACCCTCCAGAAAAGAAGCTTGTTGATATTATTACCCTGTAACATAGGTAGTTGAGCTTAACCTCACTGTCTGAATATCAAATGAGGTATAAAAACTAAAGCCAAGTTAATATGCTGAGCTGTAAAAGGCTCAAGTCAACAACTTCTGACATTGCCAGTCCTACGGATAACCCACTACTATTATGGACTGCTGGATTATATTGGATTATTTTGCTGAATTCACACACCTACAATATTTACCTGCTTTTTTTTTTTTGAACTGGGGATTGAACTCAGGCCCTTGTGCTTGCCAGGGAAGCGCTTATTCTTCTAAGCCATCTCCCTGGCCCCACACCTACAATATTTAAATGGCAATGGAATACCCATCTCTGACAAAACTAAACAAATAAAGGGGCTATAAATGAAGGACCATTTTGTATCTGTATATACAAAATAGTATAGATATCTACTTTCTCTTAATTTAATGAGAAGAAAGATTTGTGCTAATAGTGTTTGGACAGGATATCATGTCTGCATCTTATACTTTGGATAACCACTATGAAGAAAAGAATATGCAATGTATTAATTACTGAAACTGTCCTGCTAATTGGTTTTGAAACTGTCTCATTTCTATTTGTTTCTCAATAAAAGTAATAAAAATTAAAAAAAAAAAACAAAATAACAGCAACAAAAATCAAAAACAGAAAGCACTGGTACCTGTCTTTTTCCTTTTCTTCGGTTGATTTACTTTTAGCATGTTTTAGCCTGTATGCAAGTTTTCATGTATATTTGCATTGTGTTTGTAAT